CCTCGGCGAACATGCTCCACGGGCCAGAGCAGAGGCTAAAGCATCGACGGATCACGTGACTCCCATGTGCAGTGCATGTCTGCAACAAGATCTTGTCAGACATTGGCTGTTCGGGCGCGTGGTCCAAGGACATCATCGTGAGGGGGAGAGCAGTGGTGCGCTTCATTAAGGAGCACGACGCCGTTCTCCATATTTTCCGGGGGGAGAGCAGGCAGATGGGCCTCATTTATCCTTGCAAGACACGTTTCACATCCGTGTTCGCGATGATGGAGCGTTTGCTGGCAGTGAGGTCAGCATTGGAGAGGACGGTGGATGGCGATACTTGGGGTATGGTCCCTTGGGACCATTCCGTTCGTGAGTTGGCTAGGTGGGTCAAGTGGCAGGTGCGGCATGGCAGTTGGTGGGATTCCATGGGCATCTTGTTCCGTATCATGGAGCCTGTGTACGACCTGCTGCGCAGGTTGGACCGCGGAGGGCTGCACATGTTGCGGGTGGTTGAGTGGACACAGGATCTGGCCCGCCAGGTAGCGGAGGAGGTTTGTGCACTTCCGACCGATCTTGCACACTACATTGTGCAGAGGGTGCAGGCTCGATGCGCTCACATGTTGGAGCTGGCGCACGCCACTGCTCACCTTCTCTGTCCCAGCCGGCGCGACTTGCGGTACTTCGAGGGCGTGGTCAGCGACTACAACGCGAGCTTGGTGAGGGAGGCGGAGACTTACATCTTGTCGCAAACAGGGTTCAGTGTGGCGAGCCTCGACTACGAGACCGCATGTGCGCAGTTGCGCGACTTCCACACACGGAGGGGGACGATTGCTTGGGGGGGGAGGGATGGAGACAGAGATACACAGAGGTGCACGGGCGATGCGGAGACGTACAAGTCCGGGTGTTGGTGGTCGAGGTACGGGCAGTGCACCCCACAGTTGCAGGTTATCGCTCTTCGTGTGATGTAAATGTGGACGTGCTCCTCTCCAGAGGAGAGGAATTGGGCCGTCCACGAGGGTGTACAGACGAAGAAGCGTAACCGGCTTGAGTTCGAGAAGGTCGCGAAGTTGGTTGAGATCTCAGCCAACGTCCGCCTTCTCTCTCATCAGCGGGCAGGCCGCGGGTTCGGGCTGCAGTGGACTCTAGATGAGTCGTTGTTGGACATGGAGGGAGGTATCGGGATTCGCCCCTCGTGGAAGGGGACGGACGAGAGCAGGACGCGGGAGGAGCTCGAGGATCAGAGACGTTCATGACAGCGAGACCCATGTGGGTCCAGAGCTCCTCCGGGTGATGTGGGCAATGTTTTTGGGACTCGAGCCGCCACATTGCACCCGTACCCTCGAGACGACAGCGATTCCGAGGGTCACGAGGATGAGGACGAGCCGGCGGGGCTCGCTATCGCTACTCCTGCGGCGGATGAGCGTGATGAGTGGAGCGACCCAGAGGACGTCCGTAGACGGAGTGGCGGAGATGACCTTTTCGTTCGAGTTGATTTTGAGGAGGTTGGGGGTCATCATGGGAGCCCTCTAGAGCATTAGAGGTTTACGTCCACTGGCCCGCGATCCGCTGAGCGCGAGAGAGATCCTGGGTCTGCACCTTCGAGGGGGGCAGAGTCGGGGATTGGCCATTGTCCTGCGCGTGTTCCTACTGGCACGGCATCATCCACCGCTCTTCCCACGTCGACGGGGCAGCTTCATCAACAGCCAGCCGGTGCAGATCGATTGCAGAGATTAGTGAGGGGCTCGAGACAGCGATTGGAGGACATATTAGAGGGCGGTCCTTCACCGGTGTAGGTGGACGACGGAGATAGACAGGGGTTGGCTGGTGGAGATGGTGGTGCGTTGGCCGGAGGTGGAGGCGGTGCCGAGGTTGCTGCGGCGGTTGAGGGGATACAGATGGGCGGCGGAGGCGGTTTCAATGAGTTTGGTGACGTGGGTATGCCCTCGGGAGAGAGCGTGGGTCTGGCCCGAGGAGAGAGCGAGTCCCGCGGGGACATCAGTGTGGGTATGCAGGACTTATTGGGACAGATCAGCTTCTCGGAGCCGAGTAGTTTCTCCCCTGCCATGTGCGTAGAGGTGATGTTGGGGGCAGAGGGGGATGAGGACCGGACACCCCCTGGAGAGATATCTGCTGAGAGGCTGGATAGGCTTGATAGTCGTCGAGCTGGCCTCATGGCACAGAGGGACCCCAGGGCGCAGGAGCTCACCCATGTTGCGGCCGAGGAGCGACGTAGGCATCCGTTGACGTAGCGCCAGCTGCCCACATGGATCCTCTGACAAAGGTTCACGACACGATGGAGCGGGAGGCGGCTTCAGCAGAGGTTTCGAGTACGGGAGTAGATGTTCAGCAGGGGACGCACGAGAGCGGGTTGGCACCGACAGAGGAGCCACGTTCGGAGCCGGTGCAGCCTCCTGCCGTCCAGCTGAGGCTCGAGGAGACATTGCACGAGGTCGCGGGCGTGCCTCTGCCCACGGGTTCTGTTGAGGGTGCCGTGCAGATGTCCCCAGGTCTGGAGGACATATAGACGGGGCTGTCAGTGGGGGTTGATGATATTCGCCCATCGACACAGGCGGAGGGGATAGCACCGACCACCGGGGGGGAGGGGGTCATAGCGGGGGCCGTAGCGGGGGCTCAGGCCGATCCGATGTCCACGTCTGGCAGGGGAGATCCCACACAGGTGGGCAGGCGTGACGCGGACGGACAGGAGATGCCACAAACTTTGGTGGTTCGCACTGCTGTGGGGCCAGTGGGGCCACATCAGGCACCGTTTTTGGAGGGTCATAGGCGTCGTGCACATGGTGGTGGCCCAGTCGAGGAGCGACGTGTAGGCATGGGCGCGTGCATACCCCTGGTCCCTACTTTTGCGCCGTCACGGACGAGGCCGGAGATTAGGGATGTGGCAACGCGTCGGGGCAGCCTCCCTTTTGGTTTTATGACCGCTGAGGAGTTGGAGGAGCACGGCAGGAGGGATTTGACGGAGATCGACCAGCGCGTTTTAAGGTCAGTCCCGGAGGAGGGGAAACTACCTCACGTGCGGGACTTATCTTTGGGGCCAGCCAGCCCCAGCTTACCTTCTGGGTGTTCCATCGCAGCGCCATCTGGCGGGGCTGCAGGGGGCTTACCTTCTGAAGGTTCCGTCACAGCGGCATCTGGCAGGGCTGCAGGGGGCTTACCTTCTGGAGGTTCGGTCGCAGCGCCATCCGGCGGCGCTGCAGGCCCTTCGTCACCCTTGACCGCAACTCCGAGGGAGGGCGGCAGTCTCATCCCGAGGTCGGTTGCCCGTAGACGGAGAGACACTACCCAGCGTGCGAGGGAGTTGCTGGACACCATGTTGTTCGGTCGCACTGATCGACCATGGAGCGAGACGAGAGGGATGACGACGGCGAGTGCCGGTCATCAGCCAGGTTTGAGAGGGGCTTCCATGGGCGTGAGACGTCGAGATGTTGTGGCTTCAGGGTTTGGTGGTAGAGGCGGTGGCGGCGTTGGCAGCGGTGGCGACGGTGACGACAGACGTGATGGTGCAGGTGGTGTCGCGGCGAGCGCAGTGAAACCGCCCTTGACGTACGGTTTGAGAGAGGCGTCTATTATTTTGCAGGATCATGACGTTGTTACACGACCGAGGCAGGAGAGACACGTGCCCTTAGATCGACGCCAGGAGAGGGAGACTTCAGGGACAGACGGTCTACCTATGGCACGCGAGTCACGCCGACGTGATGACCTAGCAGCCGCAGGCATCAGGAAAGTGAGAGGCAGGAGAGTCATTATGGACGACGATCCCGACCAGCGTCCCGTCGCTCCCGAGCCTTCCGCTGTCAGACGCGGCAGCCAGCGTTAGAGAGATCGAGGACGTGGGAGTGGTCGGTCCCACGGACGAGGTTCTCATCGGTCCGAGCGAGATCCGCGTGCACACGATGATTGTTGATGGACTACGGACTTGCGTTTWCGTGACTTTCTCAGTGTAGTTTAGTTTTTTGTTATCCATGATAGACGTAGTGTCTGTTGAGGTTGTATTATAGTCTTCTTTCTAGTCAGTACTTTTCTGCGCAGACGTAGTGTTTTGTGATGTTGTATTATAGTCTACTTTCGTAGGAGTAGATCACCATTTCGTTCGAGTTTAGTTTTTTGTTATCCATGACAGACGTAGTGTTTCKTGATGTTGTATTATAGTGTACTTTCCAGTAGGTACTTTTCTGCGCAGTTTGCTACTTCGGAGATTGTAGCTTCCCAGTGTATTTTTAGTGTACTTTTTCGTCGACATTTTTGGGTCGGTAMTTTTTTCCATAGACTGGCGGGGCTTTGACACGATGTGTCAGATTTTTGCTATTATCCATGCTATATTGGTTTGCGTTTTGCTTYGATCATTACATCTTGGCATTTGSGATGTTTCTRTTTTCAAACRACGAGTGTTTTGTGTGCTTTGAGTCCGCCCTTGGTGTCTCTGAAATCTCACTTCCTACTGTATGAGCACCACAAAAACCTGGGGYACCCGGGGGCGTGGGCGGACTTGGGGGGTTGGGGTTTGGCGCGATTTGAACACGCACGAAACCCAAACCCCTGAAGTGCTTCCAGGCCCCTCACAACCCAAACCCTCCCGTAGCCCCCCTGGCCCCCCCGCCCGCCCCTACCCCCAAACCCCCCAAACCACCTTTTTTTTATTTGCTTGCAACCCTTTTCTAAAATTTCTCTAACCGCTTGTTTTGCGATATTGAAAAAAAAATAAAACATATATTTTCAAAAAATAAATAAAACAAAGGTCGGAGTTTGTGTGTGTGTGTGAATGTGATTATGTGTGTGTGTATTTGTGTGTGTAAATGGATGACGCAGTTTGGGGGGTTGTATGTGTTGGCGAAAAGAAAAAAAAAGTGTCCGTGTGTGTGCGACGGTGTGAATTTGTCTGTGCATGTGCGTGTGTGAATGTGTGTGTGTGTCAGGGTGTGTGTGTGTAAATGGGTGGCGTGGTTTGGGGGGTTGTAATTGTGGGCGGGGGAAAAAAAAAAAAAAAACGTGCCCGGGGC